ATCATCATCATCATCATCATCATCATCATCATCATCATCATCATCATTCTTTCGCTACGCCCTCCGGTGCCAGAGGTTGCGTTGACCCCCTTCATCTAAGAGACAGGTCTGTACGGCCACCACGTGTGGTCAGCCAAAGGAGCGCTCGAGCTGCAGTGCCAATGCCATGGTTGTGTCCTTGGCCTGGTCTATCTGCTGCTCGCGGAGAAACCTATAGAGCATTCCAAAATTACGTAAACATGGACATGGTCATCCATGCTCACACGATAGTATGGCTGGCAGGCACAAATGCGAATGGCCATCTCTGCAAAGCTACACAAAAGCTTCTCACTCAGCGGCTCAGCCTGCTCCCAAAGTTCTGCATGGTGGAGCCGCAGGTGCTGGACAAGGTCCACTGGCCGAATGTCGCAGAGGCAGCAGCGGTGGGTCAGCAGCTCGCACAGCGCAGGCCACTTCCGCAGCATCCCCAGGTCGAGACGGTCGAACGACAAAAGCCAAGTGTCACTCCAGGGTCCTGAGCTGAAAGCTAGGTACAAGTTCCGCTGCATTTGGTCCTTGGAGAGGATAGCCAAAGATCCTGCCTCACATGAAGGTGGCACCAAGTCACAAGGCACTGTCCACCGGGAGCACCAAGCGGCCATACCAGGCAGCAGTTCCTGAGTACTGTGTCAGGAAGCATGTCATATTTCACGGGAACCGCACCATTGTCAAAGAGGGTCCAGTGAGAGACTTCCTAAATGGCAGTCTGATAATGTCCCGAATGAGGGTCCAGTCCGGTGTGAAATGAAACCGCAATCACTGTGTATGGTGAGTTGTCCACCTCCAAGGATTGGTTGATGAAGTGGGGCACATAAACAGTTCGATTCCACTGCAGTTTCTGGAAGCTCTTGTCGCCATTGGCGTTGAATCTATCAATGGAGGCAAACAAGGTCTGAGGGACCTGCCATGGCTTGCAAGCCGTACGATCCCAAGGACCAGGAGATCAGGGTCTGAAGCCCGGTGCAATCTCCATTTTTCTCATCAGTCAGGTAGAGATGCACTGGGCAATCATGAGGCCCACAGTCAACACTCCGAATTTGACCGTCTGCCTCAACACGTGCTTCTTAAAGACTACTGTAGAAACAAGGGTCCAATCCGGGGAGCAGACAGTGCAAGAAATCCACAATGTCGTGTTGATCAAATGGGCGTTCCCATCCGGTCATGAGTGTCAACCATGGGCCGTCAGCCCATAAAAGGACAGGCTTCCCATCCTCATTGTTCACCAAGTGCTTTCCGTTGATGTTCCATCAGTGGCCCCACCATGATGATCCCCAAAGCAATCCATGGACCGCAGCGTTCATATAGCATGCGTTACCTGGGTTGCAAAGGCGTCCTCTGCAAGGTTGCAGGGCGCATGCGGCTCAGGATCAACTGCCATAGACCTGGGTAGGCCAGTTCCCGCCAGTGCTTGTGCATTTCTTGAGTGTGGATGACTCAGCGCAAGGGTCAATCTCCACGGGATCACCGGTGGGTTGCTGTCGGGTTCTTGTTGGAGCTGCTGGGGTTGTTGGGCCTCGGTGCACTGAAGCGAACAATGGTGCTCTGCTCCTAGAGGACAAGGATCCGCGTACTGCTGTTGATGACCTCAGTGATCGACACGGGAGTTTGGTCCTGGTTGATCTCCAATGTCTTGGCACTGCTGTTCCATTGCAGGAAGTTCAAGCTGAATTCCTGGTTGGTCTCGCCCACATGCAGGTAGTGAAAGCGCTGCAGTGTCTGAACGTCTTCTGCAGCTTCTGGGCCCTCGTGAGCTGGTGCTCGGCTCTCTGTCGCTTGTGACTGGTTGAGTCGACCCCTCTCAGCACTCCCCACATGTCCTGTACTTGGTCCATCTCGTTTCCCTGTGTGTCCATGATGCCTCTTCCCGGGAGGTAGGCAAACTGGGGGTATGCAAACAAACGAAAAAGAGCATGTTGACGTGCAAGTTCTCTGGACATCAAACACTTAGGCAGTGGTGTTTGAAGAGCTATGGGACGCAAAGCACTCGGATGGGAGGGCAAAAAAAACAATCCATCCACTACGCCACTCAGTTGGGATGTGGCCAGCGCGGAACCAATGCGCACACCAGCCTGCAACCAACTCTCCAATTGGCTCAGCCAAACTTTTCCATGTGAAACTAGGAACAATATGAACTGGAACCGCTTTCCGGCCCTGGATGTGGAGCAACTCATGGGTGATGCGCTCAGCTTGGATTGGGGAGGAGTGCAAACTGAATGAAGGAAACTCCCAGTCCTGTCCAGCATATAGGTTTGTCATATATTCACTGAGCAGGTCCATTTCCTCTTCAGGTGAAAGCATGCTCCCGTCATCTCCCCGGAGTTGAGGACGTTTGGCAAAAAGTTTCGGAGACAGAGTGTGAACCGTTTTGAAGTAGTGGTGTGTCTGATTGTTAGCCCAATAGTATTATTGCGTCAACAATGTATATTGAAGTCGATTCCGTCTGTGTTGCACAGCTGTTCGTCTGGCCTGTTTGCGCCATTTGGTCAGTCGAATCACCCACCGCCATTGTTGAAAAATGCCAAGGAGCCCATAGGTGATCCCATCAGGCAGCGGCGCTGCAGTAAGGCTCTGCATTTCAATGGCCAAGATTCCTGGCATGGTTGGACGAAATTGTCGACAAACCTGCATCATCTTCGCATTCAAGGCTTCCAGATCAATATGATCAGGAGAGCAGTGGCGAAGTTGTGAGGCTACCGTGCTAATCATCGTGGTCCATTCCTCAGTGATGTAAAGGGTTGCCCGCTGATTTTTTGGTAAGACCAGAATCATTCTTGGGGGTGTAGAACCGGCGCCATTGTATACCACCCAGGAGAGGTACATGATCACGACTATGACCACCATAGGTGACCCGCTTAGCCATAGAATCACCATCTCGCTGTTGAACAAGGATGAAGTCTATTCTAGTTTGAACCTGTCTTGGACCAAAGTACGTAGCACCCAGCTCCCTTGACCAGGTGTTCAGGGCAGTCAACGAAAACGTACGGGCAGACTGTCCAGTGGGGTGGTCCATGCAATGGAGTCCACGTTGCAATTTTTCCGGAGTACGGCCGTGTGAAGACCGCCACGGTGCTCAATGGCTCCAACATGAACAAAGGCATAGTCATTGTCCTGCCACTCACCGGAAAACGACCATCCAGTGGCCTGAAGGCAAATGCAGTCCAAGTATGGGCCCTGCAGCCAAGCTCGAAACATATCCCACTTTACCACGCTAAGCTGTCCAATGTTCCATGAGAAAACGGAGATGGTTGCGCCTGTGATTCGAACTCTCGGATCTGTGGGTGGTGGGTGGAGGAGAATGGTCCTGGGGTTTAACTCCCAACTGACTGGCCCGGCCGTCCAAAACTGCCCTCGATACCAGGTCATGCCATGAAGGGTGGCGCGCTTCAAGGCTTTGATGTAAGCCTTCTTGCGATGTATTGGCTTGGTTTCGTCCTTTGTTTGAGACCGCAAAGTTGATTGACTGGGTCTACTACCATGGGAGGACTGTGGGAGGGTATGTGAAGTGACTTCACCGACCCGGATGGTCCAGTCGGAACCATCGGGCTGCCACGAGGGGGCGTGGATGTTGCACGGGAATTCAAGCATGAGAGTGAAGATCAGAACGAAGACCCCCTCAATCAAGTAGTTACTCCCCCTCGTGTCCGGGGCTTGGGACCCGGATGAGTGGTCATGTACGAAAGCACCTACCAGGATCAGAATCTCGATCTTCCTGATCGCTGCCAGGAAAAAAAAGAACGAAGGAGGTAACCGAAGAAGTTCCCCTCCCACCAGTCCAAGTCACTCCAATCCAAGCAGCCGTCCTGAAGCAAGGGAGGCGCTCCACGTCGAGCCAGCTGCCGGCGCGCAGCCGCGAGCAGCAGGCCGCCGTTCGTCCCAGAGATGAGGAGGATCATGAGCGGCGGATCAGATGGTGCTCAATCACCACAACATGGTCGAAAGCGAGACGCGTTTGGACCACTCGCCGCCCTTATCATCATCATCATCATTATCATCATCATCATCATCATCATCATTATCATTATCATTTTCATCATCATCATCATCATCATCTTCATCGTCATCATCATCATCATCCAAATATCATCTATATAAACATCCACACACATCCCAATCCGCCTTTCTGGGTTTTTGTTTTTGTTTTGCTGGTCAGCTCATCACGCACCCAGCAGGTGCAAAACCGCATCGAGTGCAAGTGGCTCGTTCCGGGAAGGGACCAAGCGTGCAGACGGCCGGCACCACGAAGAGGTCTTTTTGTCCGGACACGTTCTACACGTTACGTTGTGACGAAAAACACCACAAAAACCCCAAGAGGCGCGGCGCTGAAAGCCTGATGACTCAAAAGAGCTTTCACATGAAACCAGGGACTCAAAAGTATCAAACCATATCTACCATACCCCAAAACTTGTTCAGTAGACCACCGGACCGGGTACGGAATGATGCGAAATTGGAGCAGCTTGCGGGGTGATACCAAGGGCGCTAAGAATTAGCTTCAGAAGTCAAAAAAACGTAAGGGGATCAAGGAGCAAAGAGGATTGAACATGGATTGAAGACGATGAGTCACAATGATTCAATGGTTCCTGTTTGACATCTGACGGAATTTGCCCTTGCTGTGTTCCTGTTCCACAATTATGGACAATTGCAACTTGAAACATCGACTGCGGAGGGAGGTCTTCACGAAGTTGGCAGGTTGCCAAAATGCAAGGCATCGCTACGAACGGGGCACTCCTGACCTTACTACTAGGAACAAGGTTCGCTACTAGTAACAAGGGCATTACTAGTAACAAGGGCATGAGGGACTCTCCCTATGTGCGTGGGTTGTTCTGTGTCATTAGACCAAGTGGTCCGAGTTGAAGGGACACCTGTAAAAGTTTATTCCAATGCCCAAAGCTCGAAGACCGATGTGTGTCAGTCTCCAGTGCAACTTCGAAGACATTCTTTAGACCGACGTAATGTAGACTCTTGATTCATACACCTCCCACTTGAATGGAACGTCCTCTTCAAAGGGAGGGTCTATGGTCCTCAAGAATCGACCGATGTATGTCCTTTTCCTTCCCAACTCTCACCTGAGGCTCCTTCACGCTTACACCTACTTCGTCGCCTGGATGTTGAATGGCATGCTGCGGGACCGGGGCTTTCGAAAGGCGCCCAACGTCATCGATCTGCTGATGGCCGCGCCCATCAACGTGATGCTGGGCGGGCCGCCCTTGCAGCTCCCCATGCAATTGCCCGCCAAGGCTGGGCGCCACCTGGGCGTCCATCGCGCGCATTTTGCGGCGCATCAAGCGATGGAGCGAGTTGGTGGTGAAAGAAAAACGAAGAAACCGTTTTTGTGGGACGGTCGCTAGACTTTGATGGACTGAAAGGCACGAATCGGCGCGAAGTATCACTGACTCACAACAGAGTTCATGAAGAAAAGGCGTGGGCATCCCAGAAAAAGGACATCTTTGGATCCCTGACATCTTGTGAACCACCTGCTTTTCAGGTGCAGGTCGTGGGCGTCGTCGAGAGGGCTACACCTCGGCCTTTGCCCTCGGAGCTTGCAGCGTGGCTCGGGGACCACGAGAAGACCGTGCTCTATATTTCGTCCCTTCGACACCACGTTGGAGGTTTTTGGGACCGTTTCGTTGGACCGCTGCGAAAGAAAACGAAGGTTTGTGCGGTTTTGGATGCTTTTGGGGTGGTCAACGAGGGAGGTTTCTGGCGTCTTTTTGGGTGGTCAAAACGAGGTCCAATGTTTGTAGAGGCTCAAGCTAGCGGTCATGAGGATCATCCGATTCTTTGGTGGAACCGACGCGCGAGATGAAATGCCTTCATAACAAAGATGGTTTTCGTTCAAGACTGAACCCTTTTGGGAGGAGGTGTACTTCTTTCATCTTCTTTCCATCCGAAGGCACGTTCTGGACCGAAAGAGTTTCGACGGCCGCGATTTGGTTCAAGGGCCACAGGTCTTGCCACAGCCTTCCACTGTTCCGACCGGTCAATAGGAGGCCCTGTAATGCATGGCTACGGTGTGTCTAGCACTGCAGCAATCCCTTTGACCAATAAATATGCATTATCATGGCAGTCCTTACCTTAACCCCTCCATGGCAGGGGTCGGACCTTCTCTCTCTCTCTCTCTCGAAGGGGTTTCTACCCGAACCAAACCCTATGTACGTCTTGATTCGGGCCCGGATTCTTTGAGATACTGATAATGATCTCAATCCAATGGGCAACAAAACTGCCATCTGCCACAGGGGACATAACGGCACCACTTCTCACCACTGAATTCGGTGAACGTCACCTTTCAAACCTCGAGTCCGTCCTCGTCCGGTGAGTCCGTCGGATCCATCGAGGGCGACGGCGACGGAGGGCGATGTTCGTTTGGGCTCGCTTGCGGAAGGGGGTGCCCAAAAGGAACGGAACGCCCCACAGCAGACGGGTACTCACTCCTCGCCAGCTCGCCCGCCCGCTCTCCTAGGATGGGGACCAAGTACGAGCTCAGTCGAGAGATCTGCCAAAAGCTCGTCGAGATCTTGCGACGACTGCAGAACGATTCCCTTCGTTCCTGGGCCTCTCTGGGCGATCTCGCTCGCGCGTCAGATCGCGATGAGCGGACGAGCGTTCCAGGGCCCCGGGGCCTGGCCGCGAATCTCACGAGTTCCCGAAAGCAGAGGTCTGACGGGTGGTTTCGGTCAGCGTATGACACCCTGACCAAACAAATCATGGTGCCGACCTGGATGGCCAATCACCAACCTTAACCTGACTAAAGAAAGAAGACACATCGCCCGTTGTGCACTGAGGAATTCTTTGGTCCTTGCGTCCTCAGCAGCAAGAGCTCTTGCAGGACCTCCTCCCTTCGCCCAGCAGCACGATGCGCATCGAGGCGAGCCACTCACCGTGGGAGAACAACCACCGTCCACCGAGGACTGTAGAGGATCCCAAAACGTGGGTGTTAAAGGTGGCAAAAACCGCCCGAGCGGCAGGTGTTGGTGGGGTAGGGGGTTCAAATGGGAGGCAAGTGAAGAAAAAGCAGGAGACCCTGGCAGTTGGGATGCATCATTCACATCACTTGCAAGTCTGCCAAAGGCCTCAGCCAAGAGTTGGTTTACAACAACTATTACTATAATCAAAAGCAACACAAACATTTCCTGCAGTCTTGGGCTGGCAGGGGGTACCTTGAAAACAACAGAAACAATCTATAGACCCTTTGGAGACTCCTTCCTGCCAGCTCAAGTCCTATCAAGAATGAATCCATCTTTTACATGTTGTTCGTTCATTTTTTTCTTTGAGTCTACCCATCCTAGTGCATCTGATAAACAGCAGTTCTTCATGTGTTAGCCACTTCTTTTTTTTGGATGGCCAGAAACCTTGACATATTGACTTATTGGTTTGTCAAGTGCACTCCACAATCTATTGCTGCCTGGCAATCTTGATTTGCTACCCCCTTTGATTAGCTGTCCCTTCTCAACGTTGATTTGTTTCCTCGAGTGCCATTTGGCTCTCCTTGTGCTTTTTCAGCTTTTCCCCTACTAAACTGACGTGTTTCAATCTCATTTCGCTCGTTTAGCTGCTGATATGTTTCAGGCTGCCTGCTGCTGCTGTCGATTTCACCAAACACTATCCTCGAAATGTATGTCAAAACCTGCCACCAAAGCATCCTCAAAACCTATTGCTCCCTTGTTGAACTGCTACCTTTCCTTCATTGGTATATAAGTTCGACTGTTTGTTTGGTTCGACTATTGCTTTGCATCCCTTTCTCTCATTTGGACCCTTCCTTTGTTAAATTGGTTTGTTTAGTATTATCTTTTTATTTCTTATTTACCGCTTCTTCACATCTTTCATTATAGTGTCGTCCTCCAGTCTGTTCCTTTTCTCAAGACTTCTCTTTTAGAGAAGCGGATTTGTATTTCTTCCTTTTGCTTTTAAGCAATGCATACACATACAACGGAAACACAACAGAAAGAGCTAGAGTCACAAAAGGGGAAACCATTGGTCGCGCTGTCATTGCAGCCTGTGCGTCCAAACCAACCCCGTTTCGCCCTGATAGCTTGTCCATGTCGTTTGACTCTTTAATTTGTTTATGCTTCGGCTCACACACCGGATAGGTGGCGAAGGTCGAACTTCAGTTGTGATCCTGAAAGGCAACCCTTAAAGGCAACGAAAGCCACATACACTCGGTCAAGCGGTCCAAGGGTCAAGGTGAGCGTCGGTGAGCGTGGAGAGCCTGGCATCGGTGGCATAAGGACGGAGCTTCGGATGGTGAAGGCACCCAGATCTGAAGATCCGATCCAAGTGTTGGAAACATCATCTGACGGAAGGAAAAGAAAGGATGTTCTTCAAAAGACGGATTCAAAAACTGGTTTCGGCTCAGATTGTCCTATATCTATAGGTGGATAGAGAAGGAGCAAGACTGCGCACATGTCATGATCGGATGCAACATCAGCACTCCCATAGCCTCCGCCTCCCGACTCTCCAGAGCGGGCTACAGGCGGATGTTTTTCTTGGAACTCGGACAACACCGATGCGTGTGTAGGCACTCCCAACCGATGGGTGTTGGATGGTTTTGACCTATGTTTCTCCCTGGAACCTGGTTCTTCAAAGTGATCGAACTTGATAACCTGGTTTGAGGTCACTTAAGCCTCCCAAGGGTCACTTAGGAACCTTCAAAAGGTCACTTTGAAGAAGCTGGAAGAGGAGGTTTTTGCAAGGTCCCCCTATTTACAAAGCAGACCCATATCCATTCTGTACAATGCTTGGAAGTTCCAAGCTTTCGGTTTGCATGAAGATGAAGTGATGCTCCCGACCTGAGTCCTTCGTCTCCGACTCAGCCGACTCGCCGACACGACATTCTGCGACGACTCCTGTGACCGACCGAGGTGCCACGAGGACCAAAACCGGGCCGTTCGGTGGCTGTTTCTGACCGTTCGGTGGCCCTCCAGGCCTTCACACCGCAGCCGGAAGTCTTGGCACATCCTTCTGTGAAAGTCTTCCTCTCCCACTGTGGCTGGGGTGGTGTGACTGAGTCTTGGCAACTGTGAGAGAGAGGAGAGAGACAGAGTCGACGAGACATGCTGCTGTTGGTTTCAAGATGTTTCAAGTTGTTTCATCAAGAAAGAGAGAGTTCTGTTTCCTCTCTCCCTCTCTCTTTTTTATACGTTTTATACGTATTACGCACTACATATATCAGTTCTTATTGCTTGTCGCATTGGAGACGCCTTAGCCGCGGTCTCCGGTCGCTCCGACTTCTCAGGACACCTTAGCTGCTGGTGTGCCCACCCTGGCGTATCCCTCCTTCTCGGACCAGCGAGGGAATGCCCAGCGGCTGGTCGACCTGGGTGCCGCGCTGCTGGTGCAGCCGGACTTCCAAAATCTCGAGGAGGCGAGGACGTCGGACGTTGGACCTTCGCTCGCTCTGAAGGTCCGACCGTCCCTTCCACGGGTGCGGCACACGTGGAAGCGGAAGACAAGCAATCCAGGTTGAAAGTGTTCGAGCTTTGGTGTGAGCTCCGAAGTCCTACACACCAACTTCATCTATGTTTCGACTGAGGAAGTTTGAGCCAAGAACCGGCATTTGTGTGATTTTGAGGGTGCTGAGATATTCGGTCGGAATTGGCACTAGTTTGGCAAGGTTGGAGGCCATCGCTAGTGGGTTAGAGGCCATTGCTACTAGGTTGGAGGTCATCGTTCTTAGGTTGACCATCCCAGATTGTGAGCCTTTCGTCCGATTTGAGAAAATCTCACCAGGCCACCAGGCAGCTCTTGCAGGCTGGGAGGGGGTGTCTTCTTGTTTGAAGATGAGAACCAATATGGTCCTTGCCTATTTGTAAGGCTCTACCCAATTGTTTTGTTGGCCTGTATACGATATTAGCAACACATTAGCAACACGAATGACAATTAATTATCATCCGTTCCAGGCTGGGAAAGAGGTTCTTGCTATGTGTGAAATCCAAGATATGAAACGGGGAGAAGAACTGGGGCTTCATGAAGCCAGTTCCTGGCAACATCGCAGTTCCCAATCCCCAGACACGCCTAGACGGTCCTAGACACTCCTTTCTCTTTGAAACCGGAACAAACCGAAAAACACCGTGTTGAGAATCAGAGGTCCGGAGAAACTGAGAAACTGGACACTCTCTTGACCCACACCATTGCGCATACACACACAACTACCCTGCTCCGTGTAGGTTTCCCTATCAGTTCCTCGAAGGGCTACCAGCTACACCTGTCAACGTGTCTGACAAAAAGACGACAGACAGAAATACCATCAAACTCTGTGCCCGGCTCCCCCCCCAAACAGCTCTGCGGCGCCAAGCAGCTTGCCCCGTCCGACCGCTCCGGCCGCGCTCGACGAGGAGAGCTCCTTCGCGCTGCGGGCGCGGCGCGCGGGCGAGGCGTTGCGGACGCTGGGCGGCGCGGACCGCGTCGTTGAGCTCCTGGAAGCGGCGGCCGAGGGAAGGCGCGGGTGCCGCAGTGGGGAATGCAGCAGCGATTCAACTTCATGAGTTGTCTTTGGAGGCCTTGGGTTTCAACTTACCTGCACTCTTAGGTTTTTCACTTAAGCCGGCATGTGGCAAACCGCAACCGAATCAGTACGCATGTCAATATGTGCACCATGTGTGTGTGTGTGTGGGTGGGTGTGTGTGTCAATGTGTTTGTTCTTTTTCTCTGTGTTTTCCGAAGTGAACGCTGATGAAAGGGGGAGTTTGTTGCAGTGAGGTAGGCTTTTTGGCCAGCAAGAAGCAAGGACAAATCGATTTGCTATTTTAGAGCTTCATGGTGATGGATCAGTCTCTTATGGCGGATTGATGGTTTCTTTCTTTCGTAGTGGTAGATGGTGTAATGATGTGTAATGAGCTGAGTTGACTACGATTTCTCAATTTTTTGGTATCATTTACAGTACCAAAAAGCAAGGATGGAAGTGGATGTTCGTTTAGGAGGAACAGTTTTTGCAGAACCTTTTTCACAGGACACTTGAGTGCAACATGTAACATGCATTTCTTGAACGGTTTTTTGACATCGAAAGCCGCGAAAACACATCGAAGGCAGAACTCGCTCCCCACTTGCCACGATCACGCCGGGGTCCTCGGACCGCCGAAGGTACTTGGAAGCTCCACCTGAGGTGCAGCGAGCAGTGAATCAGGCACCCGGCCTGGCCGAAGGGAGAAGGACTCGATGAACGGGGCTGGAAAGGAGTACAGGATCGGAGGATCACGGGTTCGGGGGATCACGTCCCACGTATGCCGTATGCGTTTGTTTGGTTTTTTTCCTTTTCGCAAGATGTGCAGTGCCAAACGGATTTGTGTCTTTGGGACTCTTTGGAACTCTTTGGGGCCCAAACACGGAGTTCGCTCGGCTTCATGCTCGCCTCGCCTCCCAAAGCGGACCGCGCGGAGCCGGCGGCGGAGCGGCGGCGGAGCGGGTTTCCACCCCGATCAAGCGGCGCTCCAGGTGGATCCCTTTCTCCATCGAACCCATGAAGTGGAGATGGCTCGGGGACCCTGAGTCGAATGGGACGAGTCGAATCCGACATCGGGTCACACACCCTCAGACATCGGGATCCCTAAGGATCCAGTCATACCTTCGAGAAGGTACGGTGAGGACGGAGACACTGCTATTTGCCGGTGCCAGGAGGGTCCAAGTACCTGATAAGGTACGACTGGATCCCTATAGGGGATGTAGACAAAGCCTCCTTCAAAGATCTCACTGACTGCAACTGACAGTGTGCATGCAGTCTTTTTTCTTGGATCACGACTCATGGAGCAGCAACACGCAGATTTTATGAAATCCTTTTCGGGGAGGGCAAACACATTCACTCTTTTCCATGTCGAGCAAGCGCAAAGTGCTGAGGCTCGACGCGCGGACTCTTCAAAGCCTTCGGATTGTGCTTCTGAAAACCCTCCATTCAGACTCAGACATTCAAGAAGACCAAGGTCTTTTGGGCGACATTCATCAGACATCACATGAAATCAAGCACCAGAATTGGTTTTTGTTTGCTTCATTGACGTCCTTTTGTGTTTTTTCCACACCCACGCGGCACGCGCGCGTAAAAGGCGCTGGTTGGCACGCTTCAGTGCTCGGACGGATGTTGCGAGGTTCTCAGCACCGCATTTGCGTGTTTCTGCTTCTTGCTGAGCCTCTGTATCTTTACTTGCTGCTACTTGATCGGGATTGGTGGGATGGTGGAGTCGTGTGTTTTTCTTCCTTCACCTCATGGCATCTCTTAGATCAGCA